TGACTGTGTCATCAGGAGGCGGAGGGGATGTCGGTCGGTGTGACACCTTGGAGATACTCAAAACCTGCTGTGTCATCGCTGTTTTCAGCCAGACTTTTCTCCAAAAATCAAGTGTGTAATGCTCAAACATGATTTTTTCCAAACCACAACCATAAGTGTTTTTTTGTGCTTAAACTGAACCTAAGACGTTCCCATCCCACCTCATCAAACACTGACACTTTGTCCTATCAAAATATGACACGGCAGGTATCCTCCAGCGTCAGTGTCTTGTTATATGCATTGTGTCCTCTCAAAATAAACTTCAGTTTCTGCTCGATAGATTCAGACAGTCTTTTCAAAATAAGCTTAATGTATTAAACTTTGTTTATAGGTTTATTTCCTGGAGGTTAGGTAATAAAAGCACAAAAAACATCTTGATTTGGCTCAAAATAAGAACAGTTGTTAGTAACGTCATGTGACATGTGTCACTAGCGTAGCATGCTGCACATATTAGCACACAACGCTTTATTAAAATAACTCCACTGACTTTTGGTTTCATAAAGGAAACAAACAGCGAGCTCCTGGGTGAAAGTCTGGGGCCGGTCGCACAAAAGTTTTCTCCTTAAGTATGACACTTTCCCCTCAGCTAAGGGAGTTACATAATGGTGTTGCATGGACACCCTTAAAAAGTTTCCCTTGTTAGGGAAAAACATTTACAACTGATTTTTCTTTCTTTGTTTGGTGACACCTGAGGTCTTTGTCCAGAAGGTCAGCTAACTTTAATCAATTTTTCAAATAAGCCCGAGATATGAAGAAAACCTTAAATCCTAAGGTGAACATATTAAGGGAAACCTTAAGGAGAAGACTTAAGTTTGTTTTGATTCAAGGAAGCCTAAAGTCTGCAGAGTATCTAAACCTGAGGCGTCCTGTCCTGTCGCTGCAGACAGTTAATCACATGGAGATGTTTTCAGACCCTCGGCTCAGGGTCGTTCCGGTGACCTGACCCTGGATCAGTTCTCTCTGAGAAGAAGCTTGACGGAGCATCGAGCGACAGGAAAATCTTTTACTGATTCTCTTTTCTGTCGAAGGAGTGAAAGCTGTTCTATCAGGAAACAGTTTACAGGTGAGATGACAGAGAGCCCTTCCATCAACTGAACTACAGTTTACTATGATTGTCATTATGCACCAAAACGTGTCACTAAACCAGGAGAACAAATCAACCACAGCTACAAGCATTTACAACATGCACTTCATGGAGAGAGATTGCATAGCTCTTCACTGTTTTGCCCTTTTAAACTGTGCTTTTATAAAAGAATCCAGTCAGTGGATCTGGCCTTCCTGCAAAGCACTGAAGTCAGAAAAGCCCTGTTTACTCTGCAGCATCTCCAAAGTGTCCACAGGAGACATCACACCTGCTGCAGAGACGCTCCCGTGGTATAAAATTAGCCCCATCTTGGTTTATCGCTCCTTGTTTGCCTCCAAACTGTTTAGATTAAAGAGAAAGTTTTCATGCAGTAAATGTTCCCGCTGTCTGTAGGCTGCGAAGTTGGCAGGAAAATGCCTGTGCTTCTGTGAGTCAGGTGTCAGGTTCTGCTGGAGACGAAGACTCTCCGCCAGCGGTAGAAAGGACAGGCACTGAGTCGAGGTGGGTCTGAGGTTCAGGTGCAGTCTGGAGGGTGAAGACCGGCTGGATCAGGAAACGACGTCAAAGTGAGACATTTGTCCTCTGAAGGATCTCTGCTGCTGCTCAAGGGTCTCATATTCGTATGTGGAAGTTACTGCAGACAGAAACAGAAACACATAATGAGGTCATCTGTGACATCACAGAGATGCTTCATGAGACAATCAGCTGATCACATATTGATCACACACTGATCTCACACTGATCACGCACTGATCACACACTGATCACACACTGATCACGTACTGATCACACACTGATCACGCATGGATCACACACTGATCACACACTGATCACGTACTGATCAAACACTGATCACGTACTGATCACGCACTGATCACACACTGATCACACACTGATCACGTACTGATCACACACTGATCACGTACTGATCACACACTGATCACACACAGATCACACACTGATCAAACACTGATCACACACTGATCACATACTGATCACACACTGATCACACACTGATCACGCACTGATCATGTACTGATCACACACTGATCACATACTGAACACACACTGATCACACACTGATCATTTACTAATCACACACTGATCACACACTGATCACATACTGATCACACACTGATCACACACTGTTCACATACTGATCACACACTGATCACACACTGATCACGCACTGATGACGTACTGATCACGCACTGATCACACACTGATCACGCACTGATCACACACTGATCACACACTGATCACACACTGATCACGCACTATTCATGTACTGATCACGTATTGATCACACACTGATCACACACTGATCATGTACTGATCACACACTGATCACACACTGATCACTCACTGATCATGTACTGATCACGTATTGATCACACACTGATCACACACTGATCATGTACTGATCACACACTGATCACACACTGATCACACACTGATCATGTACTGATCACACACTGATCACACACTGATCACTCACTGATCATGTACTGATCACGTATTGATCACACACTGATCACACACTGATCATGTACTGATCACACACTGATCACACACTGATCACACACTGATCATGTACTGATCACACACTGATCACACACTGATCACTCACTGATCATGTACTGATCACGTACTGATCACAAACTGATCACACACTGATCATGTACTGATCACACACTGATCACACACTGATCACACACTGATCATGTACTGATCACACACTGATCACACACTGATCACTCACTGATCATGTACTGATCACGTATTGATCACACACTGATCACACACTGATCATGTACTGATCACACACTGATCACACACTGATCACACACTGATCATGTACTGATCACACACTGATCACACACTGATCACTCACTGATCATGTACTGATCACGTACTGATCACAAACAGATCACACACTGATCACGTACTGATCACACACTGATCACACACTGATCATGTACTGATCACACACTGATCACACACTGATCACACACTGATCACGCACTGATCACACACTGATCACACACTGATCACACACTGATCACGCACTGATCACACACTGATCACACACTGATCACACACTGATCACGCACTGATCACACACTGATCACACACTGATCACACACTGATCACGCACTGATCACACACTGATCACACACTGATCACACACTGATCACGCACTGATCACACACTGATCACACACTGATCACACACTGATCACGCACTGATCACACACTGATCACACACTGATCACACACTGATCACGCACTGATCACACACTGATCACACACTGATCACACACTGATCACGCACTGATCACACACTGATCACACACTGATCACACACTGATCACGCACTGATCACACACTGATCACACACTGATCACACACTGATCACGCACTGATCACACACTGATCACACACTGATCACACACTGATCACGCACTGATCACACACTGATCACACACTGATCACGCACTGATCACACACTGATCACACACTGATCACGCACTGATCACACACTGATCACACACTGATCACGCACTGATCACACACTGATCACACACTGATCACGCACTGATCACACACTGATCACACACTGATCACGCACTGATCACACACTGATCACACACTGATCACGCACTGATCACACACTGATCACGCACTGATCACACACTGATCACGCACTGATCACGCACTGATCACACACTGATCACGCACTGATCACGCACTGATCACGCACTGATCACGCACTGATCACGTACTGATCACACACTGATCACGCACTGATCACACACTGATCACGCACTGATCACACACTGATCACGCACTGATCACGCACTGATCACACACTGATCACGCACTGATCACGCACTGATCACGCACTGATCACGCACTGATCACGCACTGATCACGCACTGATCACGCACTGATCACACACTGATCACGCACTGATCACGCACTGATCACACACTGATCACGCACTGATCACGCACTGATCACGCACTGATCACGCACTGATCACACACTGATCACGCACTGATCACGCACTGATCACGCACTGATCACGCACTGATCACACACTGATCACGCACTGATCACGCACTGATCACGCACTGATCACGCACTGATCACACACTGATCACGCACTGATCACGCACTGATCACGCACTGATCACGCACTGATCACACACTGATCACGCACTGATCACGCACTGATCACGCACTGATCACGCACTGATCACACACTGATCACGCACTGATCACGCACTGATCACACACTGATCACGCACTGATCACACACTGATCACGCACTGATCACGCACTGATCACGCACTGATCACGCACTGATCACGCACTGATCACACACTGATCACGCACTGATCACACACTGATCACGCACTGATCACGCACTGATCACGCACTGATCACGCACTGATCACGTACTGATCACACACTGATCACGCACTGATCACACACTGATCACGCACTGATCACACACTGATCACGCACTGATCACGCACTGATCACACACTGATCACGCACTGATCACGCACTGATCACGCACTGATCACGCACTGATCACACACTGATCACGCACTGATCACGCACTGATCACACACTGATCACGCACTGATCACGCACTGATCACACACTGATCACGCACTGATCACGCACTGATCACACACTGATCACGCACTGATCACGCACTGATCACACACTGATCACGCACTGATCACGCACTGATCACACACTGATCACGCACTGATCACGCACTGATCACACACTGATCACGCACTGATCACGCACTGATCACACACTGATCACGCACTGATCACGCACTGATCACACACTGATCACGCACTGATCACACACTGATCACGCACTGATCACGCACTGATCACGCACTGATCACGCACTGATCACACACTGATCACGCACTGATCACGCACTGATCACGCACTGATCACGCACTGATCACACACTGATCACGCACTGATCACGCACTGATCACGCACTGATCACGCACTGATCACACACTGATCACGCACTGATCACGCACTGATCACGCACTGATCACGCACTGATCACACACTGATCACGCACTGATCACGCACTGATCACGCACTGATCACGCACTGATCACACACTGATCACGCACTGATCACGCACTGATCACGCACTGATCACGCACTGATCACGTACTGATCACACACTGATCACGCACTGATCACACACTGATCACGCACTGATCACGCACTGATCACACACTGATCACGCACTGATCACACACTGATCACGCACTGATCACGCACTGATCACGCACTGATCACGCACTGATCACGTACTGATCACACACTGATCACGCACTGATCACACACTGATCACGCACTGATCACGCACTGATCACACACTGATCACGCACTGATCACGCACTGATCACGCACTGATCACGCACTGATCACGTACTGATCACACACTGATCACGCACTGATCACACACTGATCACGCACTGATCACGCACTGATCACACACTGATCACGCACTGATCACGCACTGATCACGCACTGATCACGCACTGATCACGTACTGATCACACACTGATCACGCACTGATCACACACTGATCACGCACTGATCACGCACTGATCACGCACTGATCACGCACTGATCACACACTGATCACGCACTGATCACGCACTGATCACACACTGATCACGCACTGATCACGCACTGATCACGCACTGATCACGCACTGATCACGTACTGATCACACACTGATCACGCACTGATCACACACTGATCACGCACTGATCACGCACTGATCACACACTGATCACGCACTGATCACGCACTGATCACGCACTGATCACGCACTGATCACGTACTGATCACACACTGATCACGCACTGATCACACACTGATCACGCACTGATCACGCACTGATCACACACTGATCACGCACTGATCACACACTGATCACGCACTGATCACGCACTGATCACGCACTGATCACGCACTGATCACGTACTGATCACACACTGATCACGCACTGATCACACACTGATCACGCACTGATCACGCACTGATCACACACTGATCACGCACTGATCACGCACTGATCACGCACTGATCACGCACTGATCACGTACTGATCACACACTGATCACGCACTGATCACACACTGATCACGCACTGATCACGCACTGATCACACACTGATCACGCACTGATCACGCACTGATCACGCACTGATCACGCACTGATCACGTACTGATCACACACTGATCACGCACTGATCACACACTGATCACGCACTGATCACGCACTGATCACACACTGATCACGCACTGATCACGCACTGATCACGCACTGATCACGCACTGATCACGCACTGATCATGTACTGATCACACACTGATCACGCACTGATCACACACTGATCACACACTGATCACGCACTGATCACGCACTGATCACACACTGATCACGCACTGATCACGCACTGATCACACACTGATCACGCACTGATCACACACTGATCACGCACTGATCACGCACTGATCACGCACTGATCACGCACTGATCACACACTGATCACGCACTGATCACGCACTGATCACGCACTGATCACGCACTGATCACACACTGATCACGCACTGATCACGCACTGATCACGCACTGATCACGCACTGATCACACACTGATCACGCACTGATCACGCACTGATCACGCACTGATCACGCACTGATCACACACTGATCACGCACTGATCACGCACTGATCACGCACTGATCACGCACTGATCACACACTGATCACGTACTGATCACGCACTGATCACGCACTGATCACGCACTCATCACACACTGATCATGTACTGATCATGTACTGATCACACACTGATCACGCACTCATCACGCACTGATCATGTACTGATCACACACTGATCACACACTGATCACGCACTGATCACACACTGATCACGCACTGATCACACACTGATCACGCACTGATCACGCACTGATCACGCACTGATCACGCACTGATCACACACTGATCACGCACTGATCACACACTGATCACGCACTGATCACGCACTGATCACGCACTGATCACGCACTGATCACACACTGATCACGCACTGATCACGCACTGATCACACACTGATCACGCACTGATCACGCACTGATCACACACTGATCACGCACTGATCACGCACTGATCACGCACTGATCACGCACTGATCACGCACTGATCACACACTGATCACGCACTGATCACGCACTGATCACGCACTGATCACACACTGATCATGTACTGATCACACACTGATCACGCACTGATCACACACTGATCACGCACTGATCACACAGGGATCATGTACTGATCACACACTGATCACGGAGTGATCACACACTGATCACGCACTCATCACGAACTGATCATGTACTGATCACATACTGATCATACACTGATCATACACTGATCATACACTGATCACACACTGATCATACACTGATCATACACTGATCACACACTGATCACACACTGATCGTGTACTGATCACACACTGATCACACACTGATCTGAGTCTACTGATGACAGTGACCCGGTGCAGTCGGTCATACAGAAACTCAGAGAGGACCAAACAGTCTCTGAGAATCTTCACTGACCTCCAAACGTCTGTGACTGCAGTGATGTTCAGGTATGCTGAGGGTGTGTCTGTACACTGTGACATCACAGAGGGTGTGGTTACAGAGAACCTCTGCCGTTAGCTTCATGTACTGACTGGACTGCAGGATTTCTATTGTTTATCTCAAGATCATCATGACTAGAAAACCTCTGTGTCACTGTGAGAATGTTTCAGCACTATGAATGTCTGTGCAGCGTGTTGCTGTCTGACAAACCTTCAGACTGAACCTCTGATACCTGAACTGATGAGGCTGTTTATGATCTGAATTCACAGTAAAGACAAAAATATTCAAAGATTCTGCACCAATAAGACAAATCATTCTGAATCATTGTGAGGACTGTTCATGATGCTAACATCCACAAATGTTCATGTAGAGTGAAGGAGAAGAACAAGACAGGAGATTATTGTTACTATGCATCTTCAAAGTGTCAGTGCAAAAACTGCAGGATGCAGCAGGATGCAACCTCCAGGGCTTGAACCAAAAGTAATTCTACACGGTGGTATTAGTGGTTTAACTGCAGTAAGAGATTGGTGGTGGTACCTCAGGAAGTCGGGAGCCTTTGACACCATGTTCTCGAAGTCAGAGTAGGAGAGTTTGCTGTCTCCGTCGAGGTCGGCCTCCTCGATGGATTTATCACAGACCAGCGTGACCTCCTCCGGCGTCAGCTCTCCTTTGGTCAGCCTGTTCAGAGTCTTCTTCAGGTCCTCCTTACAGATGAAGTTGTCCCTGTTAAAGTCTGAAGCAGAAGATCATATGCTGTTTGAATCATCACAACTTAATTTAAAACTCTGACAGAGGTCTTCACACTGGAGCAAACAAACTACATGTGTCATCCTGAAACATGTTTATGTGACCTGGACCATCTGATCCAGAACAACTCTGCTGTTTGTTGATGAAGGTTGAAACAGACTGTCAGTGAGCAGTTCGTCTGTCTGCAGGTCTCTAACTGAGGATGGAGTTAAAGGTGCTGTTGAACTGAAGATCTGCAGGGATTATGTTTTTCCACAGGTTGACCCTGAAGTCAGCGTCGTCCTGAATCCCTCAACTAAAAACCCACGAGATTTTAGATTATTACAGAAATACCACAGAAAATTTGGGGCGCTGGTGGCTTAGTGGTAGAGCAGGCGCCCCATGTACAAGGCTGTTGCCGCAGCGGCCCGGGTTCGACTCCGGCCTGTGGCCCTTTGCTGCATATCACTCCCTCTCTCTCTCCCCCCTTCATGCTTGTCTGTCCTATACATTAAAGGCTAAAAAGCCCCAAAAAAATCTTTAAAAAAAGAACTATTACAGAAAATTGTCACTGAGTTTATCAGTGACAATCAAACATCTCTGATCCTTCCAGGTTTTGTTCAGTGAGATAATCTTCACTAATGGACACCACTTTAAGAGGTAAAAAGCTAACGTTAGGCTGCAAACAAACTGCACCACGGTCACATGACTTAAAGGGATAGTGCACCCAAAAATGTAAATTCAGCCATTATCTACTCACCCATATGCCGAGGGAGGCTCAGGTGAAGTTTTAGAGTCCTCACATCACTTGCAGAGATCCAAGGGGAGAGGAGGTAGCAACACAACTCCACCTAATGGAGGCTGACGGCGCCCCAGATTCAAACGTCCAAAAACACATAATTGAAACCACAAAATATCTCCATACTGCTCGTCCGTAGTGATCCAAGTGTCCTGAAGCCCCGACATAAAAAGTTGTTTGGAAAAACCTCATTTGAACTCTGTTTTTAGCCTCATTGTAGCCTGTAGCTCTGACTGCCTCTCTGAGCACCACGCTAAACTTTTTATGTCGGGGCTTCAGGACACTTGGATCACTACGGACGAGCAGTATGGAGATATTTTGTGGTTTCAATGATGTGTTTTTGGACGTTTGAATCTGGGGCGCCGTCAGCCTCCATTAGGTAGAGTTGTGATGCTACCTCCTCTCCCCTTGGATCTCTGCAAGTGATGTGAGGACTCTAAAACTTCACCTGAGCCTCCCTCGACATATGGGTGAGGAGATAATGGCTGAGTTTACATTTTTGTTCAGTTTAACCCTGATACAGGAACTGAGCTATTTTATAAACAGCCAACACTGTGACATCACTGAGAGACGCTGGACCATGACCCAGTCCTGGGTCATGGTCCAGCGTCTCTCTCTGTCTGTAGAGCCTCTGGAGCTTCAGACATTTGGGGACATTCATCAGATCTTGTAAATATTCAGCAGCTCTGAGTATCTCCATGTGTCCCTGGTGACCTGAGGACGTCCATATGGACACACGTGGTCTTACCGTAGATCTTGAAGGCGTAGATGGTCTTGAGCTCTCTGGGTGACGTTTCACAGAAAGCAGAAAACATGTCGACAAAGTCGTTAAAGGTGAGGTTCCCCTGTCCGTCCTCAGAGAACGTCTCCACGATCCGTTCTCTGAACGGGTTCTCCTGTTGGGACGGACACACACAGCAGATCAGCATTATTCTTCATTATTTATCAGCTGAAAAATATTCACACATCATTTTCTCATCTCGATTTTAAAGCTCAACACCAACAAACATTACAACTGGTTGTTTTTCAGGGAGCCGTATATCCTGCAGCTTTTTATGCACCAAACGACCGGTCTGTGTTTACAGCTGAGCTAGTGCCCCCAAAACTATATTCAGGTGTTTTTTGTGCCTAAACATAACCACACATCAACCACAGTGCTGCTGAAACGTAAGGTTTCAATGTATGTGCTAAATAATTACACAAATGTAATGTATCTGTGGTTTGTAGAAATGTCCACATTTATCGCAAACACCGCTGCGTTGTCTAAATACGGCGCTTTTTACATTCAGGGTCGGCGCGTCAATTTACCTTCTTTACATGGATCGTGTCTTTTCAAATTAAACGTCTGTTTTCACAGGAAATGTCCAGTTTCTGCTTGTTAGACGCAAACAGATGTTTTGAAAGGGTTATTTCTTTGTGCAACAAAAGTACATGTTTAGGTTTAGATAAAACCATCACAGTTTATGTGTGAAACAAACGGCGGCTCCTGGGCGAAGGGCGAAGGTTCGTTAGACCCACCGGACTTTACACTTGTTTCTATCATACTGTTGATGGCAGCGTTACGGACTGATGGCGGGTAGCATATCACACATCACACCGCCACAAAAGGCATCTTTTTGCTGTCGGTGTCTGACGGCAACATCGCTGACAAAGCGGCGGTATTTGACGAGTTGGAAATGAGAGCAGGCTGTTTGTTGTGGCGACTGAGTTGTTCATCATCATCAATGTTCATGTTCATGTGATGAAGAATTCAGATGAGTCCGTGTTGTGCAGAGGATGCATGATGGAGTCCCAGAAGTGTGGGTGTAGGACAAGGCTTCCTAACACGTGTGCGGACAGGTGAGCACTGATGGTCAGCTCTCTACCTTCAGCTCAGGCATGGTGACGATCAGAGACAGAGGGACTTTGATGTCGGGGCTGTTGGTGTAATCCAGCGGCACTAAATGTGGAGCCAGCTCACGATATCTGCCGTGTAACCTGTAACACAGCAGAGGGGGAGGAGTCAGGCTCATCATGTGACAGTCTCATCAGCAGGTGGGTGGGACAGACAGCAGAGCTCAAAGAGTTAACGACACAGGGTGCGTCCCAAATCTCCTAAAGTGCAACCTTGTTTCCTTCACTTGTGACATTTCCTCCTGTCTTAGTCTCTCCCACCAGAGATGCACAGAGAGACACAAGGAAACGACGTGAGGAGACAGGAAACGAGGAAATGAGTGTTTCAAGGAATGAGACATGATATCAGCCGCCCCCCCCCCCCCCCAACTCCATGGTGACGCACGGTCTGTTTTTTTAATGAACTCACCTCAGGATCTCTTTCCTGGTGAAGAAGGTGCAGTCCTGTAAACAAACAGAGACACAGTCACACAACTGTTTCCTGTCGAGGGTCGCCAAGTCTCCAGCTCCTCCTCAACTCTTATAACAATAACAACAATAATAATAACAATAATACTTTGGATTTAGAAGCTGCTTTTTGGAGACTCACAGATGTTTTACAAAGAACAACAACAACAAAGAAAAAAAACAAAGATGAAATAATCTTTTTCGTTGTGTTTGGTTTCTCACATATTGAGGTGTGCAGCACGTCTCACAGAGTGACACAGAACAACCTGTGCAGGTAAACAGTGACATCATCCACGGCTGCGTTTACCTGAGACAAAGGAAACAACAGCTGTAGGCGGGGCCTCGAGTTAGGTTCAGAAATCTCAGGCCTGGACCCACTGCATATCTACAGATGACATCATCATCATCATCATCATCATCCTAACCCTCCACACTGGACCCAAGGAACACGTCAGAATGACTCGACAACAGTTCAGCATTCAACGCCATCGTGCCCTCTGAGCTCATCATCAAGCTCAGAGCTGTTTAACCTCACAACAGAATGAAACCCACCGACCGACTGCAGCAACAGTCTGAGGTGGATGGATCAAAGTCCAGACTGTCCTCTGGGAGCAGACTGTTTACTTCCTGTGTAAAAACCAAAGGTCAGTGTGCCAGAACATGTCACATGACCGCACTTGTGTTTAGTGACACCACCATGTTTCTTTAACCCTAACAACCTGCTGGTGTTTTACTAAACATAAAAACTGTTTAACCAGATGTTTACTTTGAAAAGACACGACCCATGTGACGATGGTCAACTGACACGCTGTATGTAGACGTCTGAACCTGACGCAGGAAGGTACCTACAGCGTCATGTTGTCATGTGTAGGTCCACTGATAGAGCCACAGCATTTGATGAGTTGTGATTGAAATGTGGCTGCTGCTTAGTCTGAAACCTCTCCACCTATTTGTAAAGCTCCGCCCTCACCTGTGGGCGTACACACACATAAACACCCTCAACACAGACAACAACAGGAAACCAATAAAGTCCAGTCAGAGGGCGGAGCCTCTGCAGACAGACACACCTGCACACACTGACAGTGGGTCAGAGACAACTCAGAGTCAAATCCTGCAGTGTTTATTTATGTCTCAGGTTCAGGTTTGTTTGTGCCGTTGTGCTCAGCTGAAGCTCAGGAGGCACAACGGGTCGCCTTCTGATCTGATGACCAGCGCTTTGACCCCGGCTCCTCCAGGACACGTGTTAAATATGACCCTGACCGCTGGCTTAAAGAAGATGTGTGAGGTCAGAGGGGAGCTGCACCAGAGCAGGTCCATCCACCTCTGCTGGAATGAGCCTGAGCTTTTCTCTGCTGATGACGCCTCTCTGTGACTGTGACACGTGTGCTTGTAATAAATCAGGTGCAGCAGGAGTCGACTCCTCGGCGGCTCCTCAGGGAGGATCTGTTTTCACAGCATCAGTCAGCCGGACAGCAGCAGCAGCAGCAGCAGCAGCGTCACGTGCAGCAGGATGCAGAGAGGATGATCAGCCAATCAGAGCCCTGCTCTGTCCTGTTGAACACCTCCTCTTCATCTTCATTAAGATGATGGATCTGTCAGAGCCGTGAAGCTGCTTCATGTTGTTCTTATCATTATTATTACTATGGCAACATATGGACGGTGATGTGATGACGTCACATCACAGACACACTGACCTGAAACGCCTCCAGCTGCTCGTCGGTGAAGGTTGTCTGCTTGTTGCCCATCCTGCTCGGCTGACTCTCCCATCACACAGCTGCATCACACTGGAAGTTACCGCTGCTCTCAGCTCTGCTTCACTCCGTCCTGCAGGACATGACGCTCCGGCTGCTGCTGCTGCTCTGCATTCACACCGCTCCTCACCCGGGTCCGATCCTCCTCCTCCTCCTCCTCCGAGGGTCCGGCTCTCAGCGGAGCTCTCAGCTGGTGTCTGAGCTCACAGCTAAAGGTGATGATCACGCCTCAGCGGTCCGAAAGGGGGGATGGGGGGGTGGGGGGGCAGCGTGCTGCCTTCAGGGGCTGCTCAGAAAACCAGCTTTCAATGAGGGAGCTGCAGAAAATGTGATATCAAGGTGTGTGTGGAAGTTTATCTGTTTATCTGTGTTCAGACAGAATGACTCAGACATCATGACGTAATTAATGCTCTTTAATAAGCGTTTGATTACATTATTATAACATCTGTATTTAATCATATGAAAGGCAGGTTTATCCTTATAGCACATGTCAGCAACACATGAAAAACATCGACAGCATCAAGACGAGGTGTCAAAGAAACAGAATCAGAGAACAGAAAATAAAATGTTCAAATGCACAAAGACAGGTTTCAAACACAAGAATAAAAGTGACGGTGTAAGAAATGAATATTTGATTTAATAAAAGTCAGCGGCAACAGAAAAGTTTTCAGTCTTGGTGAGTTGGTGCAGTTTGTGTGCAGCATGAAACATAAACTTGAGTTATAACAGCTTTCACTTCTAAATGTCCTCTCCTGACTCTACAGCACAGTTTCTTATGAGACCTCTTTTAAAATGTTATAACTCTCAGGATGGTGATGTCACTAAGCTCCGCCCCCTGTGTTTTGGCTCATCACATTCACAGAGTTTACATAACTTGTAAAATAATGTTGAACATCGGCTCATGTTTATAACTATGAAGCTCCGATTTATCAAGCTGAATAAAACAGAAGCACCTGAACACGTCATGATTCAAGATTCAAGATGAACTTTGTTTGTTCCACAGAGTGGGAAATTTGTCTTGGGCTCTTCAACCATACAAATGACAACATAAACAAATCAGCATTAAACAAAACAAAAACATAATAACATCAAACGCTAAATATACCTGCACAACAACCTCATCATAATCCACTTCCTGTTTATCTGGCATCATTTAAAACTCTATAAGGAAGGAATAATTTAATTTTTATATCCGTTCAATCTGCAGCGAGGCGCTCTGAATCCAGCAGAGGGCAGCAGCTCAGCTGAAGTCTGTGACTCAGTTTAATTAAACCCCAAATTAACAGATATAATAATGTCATGCTGTTATTTAACGTCACAGAAACTCTGTGAAGCCTTGATTATTTAATTTCATAATTTATTCTCCCCTCAGAGAAACTTTGAGTTCATTCATGCGATTAAAAACGATTTAAAAATACAAAATGAGGACGTCAGGGAAAAACTGAAATGTTCAGACACACAGTGAAATGATCATCTGTTGATCTGCAGCTGCTCACATGTCAGTTTTCAGTCTGAAACACTTCGACGAATCAGAGAGGACGTCAAGGTGGTCACTGATCATGTGACAGGTTTCAGATCTTATTCTGTGAGAAGAGTCGAGGGATGGTTGAGTTCAATGACAATATAATAATATCTGTTTGTTTGTTCGTGTCACTGAAGATTCTGATATTCCTGACAGCTCCTGAAGGCAACACACACACACACACACACACACACACACATATTTAAAGTGTCAGAGAGAAAAACTGTAAACCCCAGATTATCGACGGTGCACTGACGTCATCCCTCCGCCTGTGACGTCGACTACATCCTCCCTGAATCCCAAAGATTGTCTCTGCTCTCACACATGGATCACTCAACATGGTGATGTCTGTAGACGAGGACCTGCTCCCTGTGTACATACAAACGTGTCAGAACACAACCATTCTGATTATCAGCTGACTGAAGAAAACACAACCATTAGATTGGTTAAAAATTAAAAAAAATAAAAATAGGTTAAAAATTGCATATGTAAAAATTACTGAAACATTTATTAATAAATGTCTGTCTGCCTGTTGAACCCACTTCACATCTCTGTGTTGGAGAAGACCCTCAGAGTGAACTCTCCTCTTCACATAGGATCTTTGATCAGAGTGAGTCCTCTCTGCGTCAGAGGATCTTTGATCAGAGTGAGTCCTCTCTGCGTCAGAGGATCTTTGATCAGAGTGAGTCCTCCTGTGTCAGAGGATCTTTGATCAGAGTGAGTCCTCTCTGCGTCAGAGGATCTTTGTTCAGAGTGAGTCCTCCTGCGTCAGAGGATCTTTGATGACAGTGAGCAGGATGGCAGGCAGCGCGTGGAGGTCACTGGTGAGTAAAGTGTGAATAATAATGTGATAACAACGTCTCCGGTGTGCTGACCAGAGCTCCGGTGTGTCCGGTGTGTCCGGTGTGTGTGAGCTGAGGTGTCGGTGTCTCCGCTGTGACGTTATAAGCCGGCTGCAGACGCGTCATTTAGCGCGTTAGCATGTTAGCTCGGTGTGTGTGTGAGTGTCCTTCACCGGGAGGCGCAGGAGCTAGCAGAGCTAACGGAGGTGTGCGAGACATTTACCGGAACTTGTTTGATCCACCTCCGTTAAACCGTTTACCGTTAAACTCCACAGTTCTCTCCCGCTGTCGGGTCAGTCAGTGCCGGTAAAAACCGGCGCTGGAGGCGATGAGCTGCGGTCAGGTGGCTCACACCCGGCGGCGCTCTGTCATGTGGAGACAGGCACCAAACTGGGTTCAATAATCTGCGGATTTAATGTTACTTCAGACGTTTTGGGTGAAATTCAGCCTCTTTATGAACAAGTGAAAAGTTCAGAAACAAGTTGAGAGTCTGCTAATGAATTCGGCTCAGGTGAAATTCATCACACAGTCAGTATCTGCAGGTTTAATGAGACTGATTCAAAATGATGCTGTCAGACATAGACACATCACACTGATCCTAAACACACTAAATAAGGGGGAAACACATTGAGGTTCAGCTCAAACATATAAACCAGCAGGTAACACTGCTGAAGTTTGATCCGGTAAATGATTCAAGAGTCAATCATTTGTTCCAAAATGTTGATTTGTTGGTAAAAGTTTATGAAAATTGGCGTTAGAACTTTTTCTAAGTTAATAAATCAAATATGTTCAAACAGGTTAAAAGTTGATCTGACTGATCAAAAATGAAACCCAGTTAAAGATGGTTTTGTTTGTCTGAATAAAGTTTGGTCTCAGCTGAAGTCGTCTGTTGATAAAACTGAGGAACAGTTTGTGTTAAACTCAACTGACCTTCATATGGTGTCCTTCAGCTGACACAGGTGGTGGCGGGGTCCGCCAGGAGACCCGCCCTCTCCTCAGCTTCCTTCTCCAGAGGGGTGAGTAGTTCACACACACACACACACACACACACAGAGTCAGGTTACATTTGTTTCTCTGTTTCACATCTTAATGAACTTTCTGTTTGTCTGAAGAAACATCTGATCGTTATATTTGACAAGTTGTAGACCAGATAATTTACTTAGTTGACCTGAAGCTGCAGCGATCAGTGAATTCATGAATCAGTCTGCTGGTTCCCAACCTGAGGGTCCTGACCCCTGGAGGAGGAGGTCACGGGGCCGCCCTGATTTTATGGGTGTAAGAAAACTTTGGTTTGAAATGTGCCTAAAGACCTAAATCTCAACATTTCAGTCATCATCGTTATTTTTAAAGTTTTGATTATTATTTAAGACGGAAACCAAATAAGTTTATTAAACGTGTCTGAGGGTTTATAGTCATAAAGGTAGATCTGTACGTGAGCACAGACAGAAATCATATAAAAAGTAAAGGTAAAGGTAAAGTTCCACTGATTGTCACACACCTGAATGTGTGAAATTTGTTCTCCGCATTTGACCCATCCCCTGAGGGAGCGGTGAGCAGCAGTGGTGCCGCGCTCGGGAATCATGTGGTGATCTAACCCCCCAATTCCAACCCCTGATGCTGAGTGCCAAGCAGGGAGGCAGTGGGTCCCATTTTTATAGTCTTTGGTATGACCCAGCCGGGGATCGAACCCACGACCTCCCAGTCTCAGGGCGGACACTCTACCACAAGGCCACTGAGCTGGTCACAAGGCCGCTGAGCTGAGCGGAAAAAGTTCCTAAAAAATCTCAGTAAAACTCGTCTGTGATGTCACAGGAAGTACTCTGCTTCAGATTAGAGCTGGGTGAAAATTATAACATGATATTTTCAGGCTGCGTCTCGATACACAAAATATATCACAACATTTTTGATTCTGCTCAGAAGCTCCTCGTGTCGCACCTAGACGTACTGCTGCGACGTCTACAGGTGTCACACCTAGACGTACTGCTGCGACGTCTACAGGTGTGACACCTGGACGTACTGCTGCGGCGTCTACAGGTGTCACACCTGTACGTACTGCTGCGACGTCTACAGGTGTCACACCTGGACGTACTGCTGCGACGTCTACGGTGTCACACCTGTACGTACTGCTGCGACGTCTACAGGTGTCACACCTGTACGTACTGCTGCGACGTCTACAGGTGTCACACCTGGACGTACTGCTGCGGCGTCTACAGGTGTCACACCTGGACGTACTGCTGCGGCGTCTACAGGTGTCACACCTGGACGTACTGCTGTGGCGTCTACAGGTGTCACACCTGTCCAGGTAAGTTACGCTGCCGTGTGACCCCACAGATGCAGACAGTCACTCTGATTCCTGGTGACGGGATTGGACCGGAGATCTCCACTGCGGTCATGAAGATCTTTGAGGCTGCAAAGGTGAGTGTGACATCATCTCACACCTGATGTTTTTAACCAGCGTCAGTGTTCACACCTGTTCCTGTTTACCTGCAGGCTCCCATCAGGTGGGAGGAGAGGAACGTGACGGCCATCAAGGGTCCTGGCGGCAGGTGGATGATCCCTCCTGATGCTAAAGAGTCGATGGACCGCAGTAAGATCGGACTCAAAGGTTAGTGCGTGTTGTGTTCAGGGACCTGAGGCATGCACGTTCCACGTGATTCTCTCTGAGCTCACCTGATGTTCTCTACTTCAGGACCTCTGAAGACGCCCATCGCCGCGGGTCACCCCTCCATGAACCTGCTGCTCAGGAAGACCTTTGACCTTTACGCCAACGTGCGACCCTGCGTCTCCATCGAGGGCTACAAGACTCCATACACCGATGTCGACCTGGTCACCATCCGAGAGAACACGGAGGGAGAGTACAGCGGCATCGAACATGTGGTGAGTGTGTGTAGTAAAATACCGTAAGAGGGCTGCTAGGTGCCGCAGACACAGTGAAGCTCATTCTATTCCAAAATGGAAATTTTGACATGGGTCCTTGAAAAGTCCTGGAAAAGTTTGGAACTTTGGTTCCAGGTTCGGTGCATCAGTTTCCATGCTGTGAAATCTGCATCAGCAGACTGAGGCGCTGCAGCGAAGACGAACTGTTGAGCTGCAGCGAAGACGTATTGACCTTAATGTACAACCTCCACAAGGAGCATCACACCTCCATGTTGAGAACCATGTGGAGACAACTCACCTGCTCACTTTAGTGTCGCTGATGATACTGATCCAGGATCAGACGTGTCGCTGATGATACTGATTCAGGATCAGACGTGTCGCCGATGATACTGATTCAGGATCAGACGTGTCGCTGATGATACTGATTCAGGATCAGACGTGTCGTCAATGATACTGATTCAGGATCAGACGTGTCGCTGATACTGATTCGGGATCAGACGTGTCGCCGATGATACTGATTCAGGATCAGACGTGTCGTCGATGATACTGATTCAGGATCAGACGTGTCGCCGATGATAGTGATTCAGGATCAGACGTGTCGCTGATACTGATTCGGGATCAGACGTGTCGCCGATGATACTGATTCAGGATCAGACGTGTCGCTGATGATACTGATTCAGGATCAGACGTGTCGCCGATGATAGTGATTCAGGATCAGACGTGTCGCTGATACTGATTCGGGATCAGACGTGTCGCCGATGATACTGATTCAGGATCAGACGTGTCGCTGATGATACTGATTCAGGATCAGACGTGTCGCCGATGATAGTGATTCAGGATCAGACGTGTCGCTGATACTGATTCGGGATCAGACGTGTCGCCGATGATACTGATTCAGGATCAGACGTGTCGCTGATGATACTGATTCAGGATCAGACGTGTCGCCGATGATAGTGATTCAGGATCAGACGTGTCGCTGATACTGATGCGGGATCAGACGTGTCGCCGATGATACTGATTCAGGATCAGACGTGTCGCCGATGATACTGATTCAGGATCAGACGTGTCGCCGATGATACTGATTCAGGATCAGACGTGTCGCCGATGATACTGATTCAGGATCAGACGTGTCGCCGATGATACTGATTCAGGATCAGACGTGTCGCCGATGATACTGATTCAGGATCAGACGTGTCGCCGATGATACTGATTCAGGATCAGACGTGTCGCCGATGATACTGATTCAGGATCAGACGTGTCGCCGATGATACTGATTCAGGATCAGACGTGTCGCCGATGATACTGATTCAGGATCAGACGTGTCGCCGATGATACTGATTCAGGATCAGACGTGTCGCCGATGATACTGATTCAGGATCAGACGTGTCGCCGATGATACTGATTCAGGATCAGACGTGTCGCCGATGATACTGATTCAGGATCAGACGTGTCGCCGATGATACTGATTCAGGATCAGACGTGTCGCCGATGATACTGATTCAGGATCAGACGTGTCGCCGATGATACTGATTCAGGATCAGACGTGTCGCCGATGATACTGATTCAGGATCAGACGTGTCGCCGATGATACTGATTCAGGATCAGACGTGTCGCCGATGATACTGATTCAGGATCAGACGTGTCGCCGATGATACTGATTCAGGATCAGACGTGTCGCCGATGATACTGATTCAGGATCAGACGTGTCGCCGATGATACTGATTCAGGATCAGACGTGTCGCCGATGATACTGATTCAGGATCAGACGTGTCGCCGATGATACTGATTCAGGATCAGACGTGTCCCAGCTGCTGCTGTAGTGATGATGATGGTGTACCTGCCTTCCTCATCTGTGTCCCTGCAGGTGAGAAGGCTGCTGCAGACAGGAAGCTCTGCTCCTGTTCGTCTTCAGGGTAAGAAGGAGGACGCTACCTGACTTTCACCTCTTCACCCACTACAGTCTTGATGGGACCAGTACAGTCCTGTGTGGGGACCAGTACAGTCCTGTGGGGACCAGTACAGTCCTGTGTGGGGACCAGTACAGTCCTGATGGGACCGGTACAGTCCTGTGGGATCAGTACAGTCCTGTGGGGACCAGTACAGTCCTGATGGGACTAGTACAGTCCTGTGGGGGACCAGTACAGTCCTGTGGGACCAGTTCAGTCCTGTGGGGACCAGTACAGTCCTGTGTGGGACCAGTATAGTCCTGTGGGACCAGTACAGTCCTGTGGGATCAGTACAGTCCTGTGGGGACCAGTACAGTCCTGTGCAGGACCAGTACAGTCCTGTGTGGGACCAGTTCAGTCCTGATGGGACCAGTACAGTCCTGATCGGACCAGTACAGTCCTGTGTTGGACCAGTACAGTCCTGATGGGACCAGTACAGTACTGATGGGACCAGTTCAGTCCTGATGGGACCAGTACAGTCCTGTGGGGACCAGTACAGTCTTGTGTGGGACCAGTACAGTCCTGATGGGACCAGTACAGTCCTGATGGGATCAGTACAGTCCTGTGGGGACCAGTACAGTCCTGATGGGACCAGTACAGTCCTGTGGGGGACCAATACAGTCCTGTGGGGACCAGTACAGTCCTGATGGGACCAGTACAGTCCTGTGTGGGACCAGTACTGTCCTGTGTGGGACCAGTACAGTCCTGATGGGACCAGTACAGTCCTGTGGGGACCAGTACAGGCCTGATGGGACCAGTACAGTCCTGATGGGACCAATCTGTGTTCACACTGTCAGCTCAGACCTGTTGTGAGTTGTCAGGACATGTTTAGCTTAGCTTAGCTTAGCATAAAGACTGGAGGCAGGTGGAAACTGTTAGCTTACCAGAACAATCTGATTGACATGTTATTGAACTAAATCATGACCGAAGCATCAGTACAGATCTGTCAGCTGGCAGTGTGTGCGTGTGATGTCACTTCCTGTGAATGATCCTCCACTCACATGGATCCCTGATGAACTCCATGATGTCCGTTTTCCTTCCTGTTGTATTTCCCTCCTTTTTGGAATGACCACTTCCTGTTTATCTTCACCTGAACCACACCTCACCTCGTGAGTCCAAGAAAAGTCCCAGAAAAAATATCAAGAATAAGTTTTTTAATTGAGAATGGCAGAATATCTGGTGAGGTGGATCTTAATGCGACACTGAGCTGGAGTTTTCTGTTGAATGTGAAGTCAATCCAGCGTACAGTGTGAGGGAGGGTCCTCTCTCCAAAATTAAATGTTTGGGCTTTAATTACAGCGCCCCCACCTGGCTGACTGGGCAGCATTTGCACATAACACATCACTGTGTGAGACCGAGCTGACATGTCCTCAGTGTTCAGGACTCTGAGTCTGTCAGGCTAACGCTGAAGACATTCAGTAGTATCATCTTTGTGCTCTGACGCTCTCCTTCCTCTTCTCCTTCCTCTTCTCCTTCTTCTTCTCCTTCTTCTCCTTCTCCTTGTTGTAGATTGTTGACGGCGTCGTTCAGAGCATCAAACTGATCACAGAGAACGCCAGCAGACGCATCGCTGAGTATGCCTTTGAATATGCCAGAAACAACCAAAGAAACAGCGTGGTGGCCGTCCACAAAGCCAACATCATGTGAGTCAGATAATAATAACAGGAAGCTCTGACTCTGTGGTGGTAATGTTTCTGTCACAGCGCCCCCTGCTGTATCACTCACTGTCTGTGTGTCTCTCTGTCTGTGCGTCCAGGCGGATGTCAGACGGTCTGTTCCTGAGAAAATGTCGTGAGGTGGCTGAAAACTACAAAGACATCAAGTTCACAGAGATGTACCTCGACACCGTGTGCCTCAATGTGAGTTCATCAGCTGACCGACAAACCACAGGTCTGAATCCTTCTGATGATGAAAACAGGAAGTAAAAGGGTTTTTTTTTTAAATCCAGAATCCCAACTAGTGAAACACTCTGCTGCGATGATGTCACTACCCTGACATCTTTCTCTGTATGGAAGGGCGGGACAGTCTGCGGTTCTTTTCTGTTTTTCAAATCAGTCGTTATCTAAATGCGGTGCTGCAGGTTACAGCGTCTTCAGAGTCCGACATGTCTGAGGAGAGTGACGAACAGCTGATCAGCTGTTTCTGACTGCCTTCACTGTGGCTCACTGACGCTCACTGATGCTCACTGATGCTCACTGATGCTCACTGAGGCTCACTGACGCTCACTGACGCTCACTGACGCTCACTGAGGCTCACTGACGCTCACTGAGGCTCACTGAGGTTCACTGAGGTTCACTGAGGCTCACTGAGGTTCACTGACGTTCACTGAGGTTCACTGAGGTTCACTGACGTTCACTGAGGCTCACTGACGCTCACTGACGCTCACTGACGCTCACTGAGGTTCACTGACGCTCACTGAGGTTCACTGAGGCTCACTGAGGTTCACTGA